GGAGAGAGAAAAACCAATCAATCACCAAAACTAAAAATTTCACATGCAATGTTGAAACCCACCTGAAATAGGATGGATTTAACCGAATATGTGAACAGTAAGTACTGTGGAAATCAATAAATTGAAACAAGAAAACAGTGAGTTTGACAAGTGAAAAAAAGGCAGGGGCCAGCCCTAAAAGATAGTGGATTTTAATTTTATTAGTCCAAAATCTCATAATTTCCCAATTCCACCTAAAACAACAAGCCTAAGGCTAAATAGTAACCTAACCTACCTCACATAATGGCTAAGATTGATTAGGGTGATTATATGTAAGTTGTTTTGGTTTTAACTTTATTTATTGGACAAACATAATTATTTTTGAAAAAGTTGATCGAATTTTATTCGAGGAGATCTTGAGTTTGTATCAAAATAATATTTAAAATATAATAATTAAAATTAATCTAATGTAAAATTAAAAGAGGTGATTTGAAGTGATGGGTATGTTAAAATTATGAGAGCAGATGGATAACGAATTAAAATTGATGCGACATGTGAGTATAATTGATTAATATTATATTCATAATATTGAGCATAGTTAATTTGAGTTAAATTGAATTATACTTTGAGCGAAAAAATTATCTTATAAAAAGTGACTAGATAATTCGTATGAGCTTAAGTTCTAGTTAGAACTTAACCTAATTTTTATCTATCAAATTACACACATTCACATATATCCCATGTAAGTATAGGTTGTTCCAACAGTTAAAAACCCAACGTGAGTAGATAGGAAGAAATTTATCTGAAAATAATACTTCAAGACAACAGCAAGCTATATATTACCAACTTTTAAGTTACTTATGATATTATTCCATTATATATGTTAGTTAAGTAATATTGATTACAATCAAGTGACTCGTAATAAGATGACTTATAAAAAATAACACTTTGAATTTAATAAAAAGTACATTTTTTTTTTCATATATCCAGATGCCAAAAGTATAAATAAATAAATTGTTTTTGTCTATATTTATATTAATCATCTTTTAATCAATATTTAGAATTTAAGTGATTAAAGCATGAATATTGTAATAGTTAAATTTATATAATGTGATACATTATATTAAGTAATATTTTATTTTAGATATACTATTATATGCATTTTATAATTATTTTTTAGATATTTCGCACCGTTTAATACTAGCTAGTTACTATAAAGTTCATGCACTTGACGTTAGTTCATAATTAAAATAATAAAAAAGGTTGCATGTGCTAATTAGACATGATTTATTTTTCAGTTGGTGAGAGTAAAAAAATGAAAATTCTTATAATTGATTTATTTTTATGTTGGTGAGAGTAAAAAAAAATGAAAATTCTTTTAATTTATTGATGGTCATCATATTGAAATTGAATGGTGAACCTCTTATTACAGATACACTGCAACAATATGACCAAAGCAGTAAGGTTTTTACTGACTCCCTCAAAAGTACAACTGAATTATTAGTTTATTTTTGTACAATGAAAACTCTCTCACTCGTCTATAAAAAGAAAATATTAAAGGATCTCCATACTATCACAAGTAATTTAATTGCTCCCTATACGCAATTATATGCTTAAACATGATTTTCATAAAAAAATATATAATAGGCGATAAATTTTGTGTCATTTTAAATAAATCTAATAGTAGATTTTTCAATATATATATCCACATATAATTTTAAGCTAAGAATTTGTGCAGAAATTATTTTTTCTACTCATTTTTTCAACTAATTTTAGAAAGAAACCAAGTAATTATATTTATTTATTTTACTACATAATTATCGAAAAAGAAAATGGAAATTGAAAAGAACTTCGGAAATGGTAAAACTCCTACTAATAAATCATAAAGTCACATTAAATGATATATGAAAATATACGCCTATAAAAGATTTTATTTAAAAAATATTTTTCAAACTATTTCTTTAAAAGTATTATTATTATTATTTTTCAATTGATGAATGATTTATTTTATTAAAATTAATTAATTATATTTCATGACATAACCAAACCCGTTTAAATTTTGTACCCAATTAATATAATAATAATTTTAATATATTCAATTTATCTAATTGTTCATAATCACTTAAATTGTAAGAAATATTATTATTAGAATCAATAGAGCAATGCAGATGTATTTTAATAGTTTATATTTTTATTTTTTACTTTTACTAATGATATAAGTTTAAAAATGTGATATGCTCATCATTTAACTTATGAGTTAAAATTTAATATTATATAACTTAAAATTTTTTGTTTGGAATTGTGCATGTGCAGGAGTACTAGTAAAAAAATAAAATAATTAATTTTAGTTCTTTAATAATTTATTAAATTCTAAATTTATGTGTATGCTAGTTGCTACTAGTGTATAATCTATCTATTAATATATAAAGAGGCAATGATATTTACTTGAAATAGCAACTAAAAATCATCAAAAAAACATTTGGTTTCCCGCCTAAAGTATTTACTATATTGAGTAATATTTTTGGCCAAAAATTGAAAAATCTCGCCTAAATTAATGTACAGAATCATTTTGGTCAAATATTGCGGATATTACTTTTATTAGTTGCATGATTTGAACTTGAAATATAATATATTGACAAAACTTGCAGCTATTACCTTATTAGTTGCATGGTTTAAATTTGGTATATAATATATAAAAAAAAAAAAATAAAGATTTTTATTTAAATTTAAAAATAAAAAACAATTATTCATAACTTATGGGTCAATTTTAACTTGAACGTAAACGAAATAGTCAATTATTTATAATTTAGTATATTAATCAATAACTTACGGGTCAATATTAACTTGGACGTAAACGAAATAGTCAATTATTTATAGTTTAATAAATTATTCATCTACTTAATTTTTTTTTATTTGAATAGCTTATACAATAATAAATTATTTCAAGTAATGAAACAATATAAATTTTATATTTATACTTATTATTCACATAGGTGGTTAAATATATGATAACATTTTACCAAAATAACTATTTTATGGAATATATCACACATAGTCAAATCCATTTTTTGAATAAAAATATTAAATGATACTTATTTTGAAACGAATATAATGTAATTTATTACAGTTATGTGCACCACACGGGTTGTATACTAATTTTTAATAGATATTTTTATGTAATTTTACACAATGTAAAATTTATATAATATTCTCAATAAATTAATATAAGTAAATTGTACTACATATTAATTTTATATTTTTAATTTATAAATATTATTTAATAAAAAATTTTAATTTATAAATATTAATAAATATCTATTACTCGTGCAGCGCATAGACTCATACTATAATTAAAGTCATCGAAAGATTAACGTGATTATGGTCATCACGAGCTTTTTGAGTTCAACTCTCGTTCTCACTCATCACCTCATTAATGACCGTTTGTTCTGAACAAAGTTGGACTGTTAGAGCAGACGAAGCTCCTCGAGCGCAATCATGGAGCCTGTAGCCTAGGGTTTGCTCTAACGACTTACCGTAAAATCGCAGCTCTCACCGTCACGGACCTTGTTTTCCGTCGCAGATTTGCCAACTCCACCGTTAACCACCACCTGTCTCGATCGACGTCGCGTCGCCACGATTGCCTCCTGCACCGTACGGGAAGTGAATAAAGCGAGGATCCTGTAAGTTCAAAATTGGGCGAATTGTTGGATTTTTCTGCGAATTTTGTTGGGTTGTTCGTGCTTGTGATTTCGGGCTGGCGGTTATGGATATGATGCATTTTGATTTCGTCACTGTTTTTGTCTCAGCCAAGATGAAGTGCTTGTCCTGAAGCATCTGTGAGAGTTTGCACTCGGGCTGGAATCTGATCCTGGGCTGGGGAAACTTGCGCTCGAGAGCATGAGGTTAGTGAAAAATGGTGAGATTTGGTTTTAAAGGTGTAAGCCTTACATAAAGTTGGTAGGATCTTGTGAGATGCTCATGAAACCGGGTGAGATTAGGTTTTAAAGGTTTAAGCTTTACATAAAGTTGTTAGGATCTTGTAAGATGCTCATGAATCCGGGCGCGGAATTTGGACTGAATTTTTTATTTTGTTGGTCTTGCTGGTTTTTTTCCACTTACCTTTTTTCCCCTTTTTTCTGTTTTTTTTCTTTTCTTCCTCTTTTTGGTTGCATTTTCAACTGATTGGAGCGAAGCTATTGTTGATCATGTAATAGATGGGTGCACGAGTCGGGCAACCATGTAGTTTCATTTTACATGGGCTACTGTTTTGGTCTGAATGTGACTGATTTGTTTACAAAAGTAGCTACACATGAAAATTGGAATGGAGGATTACTCCAGATTTTATATAGTTTGTATGAATGTAGTTTCCTACATATAGTTATCTTCATATGAAGATAAAGAAAATGTAAGTTTTTGGTCGCTTATAATTACGAAGAATTAATTTCCATACATCCGTTCTCTATTTTCACTGATTTCCGTGAATTTACTTACCCTTTAAACATTTGTGGGCAGAAAATTCAGCTAACATAGCGTTTATCATACCTATATCAATGTAACCTTTAGATTATCAACTCCCGATAGAGTGTTCTTGATTCACTTGACAAAATTATTTCTGGGGATCATGTAGCTGCTGGGTATGGAGATGGACCCGAAAATTAAGGCTCGAATCTCGGATAATACTGGCGAGAAATCAGAGATGAGTGCAAATGCTAATTCATCAGGACAAGTGGATAAAGTGGATGAAGAAAGTAAATCTGTTACAATTGAAAAAGCTCCCCCAGTTTCTACACTTGGAGGATCAGGATCCAGCTTGATTCAGGGAGAGGATACTGTGACTAAAGGAGAGAATTTGGTATCCAAATCTTCGAGCAAAACTGATAAAGGACGAAAATCATCATCTCGTTCAAAAAACCATTCCAGCAAGAAGAAAGTGAAGGTGAGTGAGTGTATATTCTTTGCATGACCATCTTGAATAATCCTAATCATTTGATTTTGATGCATTAAAGTTAATTTCATTTTTTTGAACTTTGGTGCAAACTATAAGATTGTTGGTTGGTATTGATTTATGATTTGAAGAGAAGATAAAATAAAATAATTGATTTAATATATATTGTATAGGTGGATTGGACACCCGAGCTGCACAAGCAGTTTGTCCAAGCAGTTGAACAGCTTGGCGTAGATAAGGCTGTTCCTTCCAAAATTCTGGAGCTTATGGGAATTGATTGTCTTACTCGCCATAATGTTGCAAGCCATCTTCAAGTAAGCACATGCATTAGGCTTCTTCTCTCACATTTTGTCATTTCTATTTCAAACTTTTGTCTGAAATATAGTTTATCGTTGAAAAATTTCTCCTTTTTGTTTTCTTTCTGGCTCGAGTACTCCTTTTGTCGGTTTCTAAACTGCACAAGTTTTCTCTCTGAGCAATTTTTTTTACATTTTTATCTAGTGTCTTTTCACAAGTGATCAATGACCATTTTATTTATCTTCTGTCCCCTATTGTTGGTTCCATTAGTTTGATTTCAGGTTAATTTCTGGCTTAATGAAATTTCTTGATTCTTCCTCGTGAACTCTCTTTTCTTGAATGGATTATTTTTTCTTTTCATTTTTCCCCTTCAATTTCTTTTCTTCTTGCGCATGGATAAATTTAATTGTAGAAAAAAACCGTGTATTATTTATTATCGCATAATACGCAGAAATACCGATCCCATCGCAAACATATGCTCGTTCGAGAAACTGAGGCAGCAGCCTGGAGCCGTAGGAGGCAAATATATGGGAAAGACAACTCGAATTCGTGGACTGTGCCAATCACACGTTTTCCTCCCGTTACACCAATGCCTCATATTAGACCCTTACACGTTTGGGGTCACCCATCTGTCGACCAATCATCAGCTTGCATGTGGCCCAATTACGCGCCGCCCTATCATCTTCAGTCACAACCTCCTCCTCCGCCAACTGAACCATACTTTTGGTACCAAGATGTGAGTGTATTGTATAAGTATAACACACACACACACACACACGCAGACACACACACAATGCTCGGTTTTCTTCCTTCTATAATCTAATGGCAATTTTGCCCCTTTTTTCATTTTGTGAAGGTTCCTGCACCTGGAATGCCTTGCTTTCCTCCGCATTTTCCCCACACGGTACTTAACAAAAAAGANNAAAAAAACTATACTCATGAGATTAATTTTCTCGGTTGAGAATGAGAATAAGGTTTATGTTTTTTATTGTGCAGACGGTTGCAACTGTACCTGGCTTTCCATCTAATTCGATGTACAGATTACCACCAGGCTTTGGAGTCCCCATCAGATCAAATGACCAAATTGTACCCGAACCATCATTAGACTCCCATCCGGTGAGATGATTTTTCATTTTTTTATTTTTTTTATTTTTTTGGGTCCCTGAACATGACTAAAGTTAGCAATGTCGAGTAGGAACCGAACCCAAATCTTTAAAAGTCAAGATATTCAACCAAAACCATGTCTCGAGAATGGCAGAGGCCTAAAGGAGATAATAGTTATGTTTTTGTCATTTGTGACTAACAACAATGTTTAATGTGCTTATTGTTGCTTATCTGAAATTATAAAAAACATTCACTAATTGGTATTTTCACATTTCATTACATTTGCATTTTGCATAATTAAAAGACACTGGTTGATTGATAACCAGGGAGCATTTTGCATTTGCTTCCTTTCCTCAAACACCATTTTGCATAGCTGTTAATTTTCCCTATATTTTACGGCTGATTCTGTTTTTAATTAGCAGTCGGAAGAGAGGATAGATGCAGTCATTGGTGAAGTTTTATCGAGGCCATGGTTGCCTCTGCCTCTCGGACTCAAATCGCCAGCTGTCGATAGTGTTTTGGTCGAACTTCAACGCCAAGGAATATCAAAGATTCCTCCCACTTGTTTTTAAGTGTAGCTCTTTTTTTTTATTTGTTTAGGAAAATAAGGGAACCTCTTAAGTCTTAATCCATCTAATGGAAATAAATGTGTCTTTTTGAGTTCTTCCAAAAGCCCTTTTAGTTTTTAGTTGTGAATTTTCTTGATTTGACTCTCATAGAGTTGAGTTGAGTTGAGTATTTATCAACTATGAAGAAGCACTACATGTATAGAGTACAGCATGCTGTGGTATTTCCACACTTTGTTCTAACGGAAGATAACTTTGCAATTGCGTTTTCTTTTCGAACTCTGCGTTGTATATTCATTGAAATACATTACAGAAAGAATGGCAAAACCTCAAAAACATCTTGAAAACTTGTAAATCACTGGAAAATAGGGGGAAAAAAAGGCTTCGACCACCTGAAAAAGCTACCCCCACGTGGTATAATTTGTAAACTAATTAAATAATTACATGTCATGTTAGCTTATTATGCTATACATTTCTGGGTTTTAGTCAGTTTCAACTTTCAAACTATAGTAGCACCGGGGAGTTCGATTTTCATTAAAAAAAATATCCAAATGTTACTTTTAAATGAAATGATAGTCTGATGACACTACAAAACAAAATAGACAAAGACATACTTTTAAAATAAAATGCATTTTTATGATTTTTTAAACAAGGTGAAAATATGGAACATTGTTAAAAATACAGTCATTGGTGAAATTGATTTATTTTTTGTGCTAAGTTAAGAATAGGCATATGAATAAATTGATTTTTAAAAATTCCATTATGAAAAAAATGATGAGAATTCTTGTAGAAGTTTTTTTTGCATAACTCATTTCGATTCGCATAAGTACATTTGGTGTGACGACCTTTACAATCCACTAGTACGTACCCCGTGCGATGCACCGTTAGTCACCCTTCTCGATAAGTCTGAGAAGGGTTATTATCCATTTTCTACATATTTTAATCACCGTTAAGTCTCGTTTAAGTCTGAAAAGAGTTATCATCTATTTTCCACCTCTTTTAATCACCGTTAAGTCTAAAAAAATAGGGTTGTAATCTATTTTTCACATCAGCGTTGTTTTATTAGTCAGAACATTAAACGCGAGCATATTAGGGCTAACTTGTAAAATAATTAATATATTATCTCACTAACACATTTATACTAATATAAATTTAATTTTATTATATATATTTATTCCTTGATATAAGAGAAAATAAGAATTTTACTTATTCTTATTCACTATATAATAGTTAATTATTAAACTCTGTTGCCATATAATGTCATTATTATTTATAAAGTTATACAAGTTGCACGTCTTCTTGTTCTTTTTATTTTATGTAATGAAATATATTTAATGCATGTTGGTATTATTTATATAAGTAATCAATTTAAAATTTGTAAATAAATTTAAAATTAAATAGTGTATAAATAATGTACAAAATATACACATATATTTTTTTTAGAATTTAATTTTGTATACTAATTAAACAACTTTGATTTAAGAAAAGCCATAAACTCAATCTCTTCTATATCAATATTTTTCTAATTTGCATTGTAATGATTATTCTTATTATATATATAGATTAGAATTTTTGCGACACCAACCAAACTAAATATCACAACAACCAAGTAACAATTATGAAAAAACCCATAACACAATAACTATCAATTAAATTTGGTAATAGAAAAATTACATACATATATATAAAAATATGAGAATTCTATATTTCTATTAACTGATGTATACCACATATATATTTTGTTAAGGTATATTGAAATGTTCAATTTCATAGCATGATAACAATCAGTCTTAAAAGATCGAAAATCTTATTGAAATGCCATATTTTTCTGTTAAAAAAAAAAGTTCCCATAAAAAATAATTATATCATAGCAAATTCATTGTGTAATTGAACAAATTTCTATAATGAAGTCCAATTTTCTGTACAAAAATAAAGCAACAACTTCCACATTTTAAGGAAATCAATTAATGTTGGTCCCTTTTTGCTAAGAAAATAATAAATAAATAAATTATAATTAATGGAAAGTAATTAATGATGAGAGAATTTGACCATATCTGTTTTTAAAAATCGTAACAGAAAAACAAATATTAAATAAAAGTGTATAATATGAAAATAGTAATGACAATAAATGTTGTTGACTTTTTTAGCTACTAAATTTGGTAAATAGAACTCCCTTTAATATAAGTATAGATTCCAAACTAAGTACTATATAGTTGAACTTTCATACAGTATTGTAATCAAACCAAACAAGACAGCTAGAGTATTTCGAGCTTGTGTTAAATTATGTTCAAACATGTTAGAGTTCATTCGTTTATATTCTAGATAAAAAATTATGTTCAAGCTCTTTGGTATAATTATTCGTCAAAGTCTGAATTCATTCGTTTTCGAATAACTACGTAAAAAAATGTTTGATTAACGTGAGATATGTTTGTTCGAATTTGTGCGAGCTCGAAAAAATATAATAACATTAGTTCGAATAACTACGTAATTAATGTCTACAAACGAACTAATGTTTGTTCGAATATTAAACGAGTTAAACTTTATGTTCAAACTCAAATTGATTAATAAATGAACACGCTCGATCAAACTTAAACCGAATTATTGGCGGCCAAAAGACATAAACAGGCTACTATTTAAAACCATTTCTAAAATTGAAACTGATTTCTGAGAATTCCAAAATTACTCCATTTCATTCCAAAACAAAGTACATAATAACTACTACAATGTGCAGTTAAAAAACTATTAATTCAAAAATTAAACTAATAACTAACTACTATCTCTCATCCTTTTTTTTTTCTTTTTTTCTCTCTCCCACTTCTCTTTTCACGTTTTCTATTTCTTCTTTCCCATTTTTTTTCTTTCTTCTTCCCTTATCTTCTTATTTCTTTTTCTTCTTCTTCTTCTTCTTCTTCTTCTTCTTCTTCTTCTTCTTCTTCTTCTTCTCCTTCTTCAAATAAGTATAAAAAAATTGTGCAACAACAAAAAAAAATAACATACCACTTATCAAACAACATAAAAACAACAAGGAATAAACAGAAGTTCAATAAAATTTTTGGTTAAGATTTGGGCCAACCAAATCAAATATTGACGGCAATTGCACAAAAAATATAGAAAAATAAAAGTGAAAAAGTACATAAAATCAAACACCCAAAGGAATAATCAAATACCATTTTAATGCCATAAAATAGAAAAAATTTAGCAAAATCAGGTTATTAACATATCCTGCAAATGATGAATGGAAAATTACTAAAAATCACTCTATAAATAATATAAACATGCAAAACAATAATAACATAACTACAGTTAAGCAACAAGAAAACAATAATTAAGCAACATAAAATCAATCTGATTTAAACTTCACTTGACATACCCAATTATACAATATGATGCGTACCAACTAAATTATGAAAATATTAAAGAAAAAATAGTCGCTTACATCCTTATCATGATAACACATGTCATGAAAGTTCCATATTTTCCTTGAATTAATCTCAACATATATATTTCATGCATCGTGCGTACTCGATACACAAGCAATTATAAGCAGTGTTAATTTTTTAGAAAGGAAAATGCAATGAATGAGCAAAAAATTAAAGATAAAAACGCATAAACATAGGAGAACAAAAAAAATTGATGATCGGGCCTTCAGTGGACAGAAAATAACCGCAAACAAAAAATCAGTATCAACAAGCCCTTGAAGCCATCAAGACGTCCCGACAACAGATATCTATACTCATTCGCATTCGCATTATCCAGAAGGAATGATGGCAGGTGGATCCTTACAAATTAGCCTTTTTACAAATCTTGTCTTAAATCTTCTTCGGGCTAAAAAAATGCGAGAACATCATCCTCTTCCGACTTTGTGAATCCTATGCTCTATCCTAGTTTGCACTAACTAGAAAAACGTTGGGTCACGAAGCGATGGATTTTTCTTTAAATTTTTCCTTCTGTTAGGGTTTATTTCGAGAGAAGAAGAGAAGAGAAAGAAAAAAAAAAAGAGAAGAAAAAAGTGTTGGGATCTGTGAGGATCTCGTTATGTACAAATCACGAATTCAATAGCAAACGTAAACCTATGCGCAGCGGATCTAAAGGTTTGACGTAGAGAACTTACGGCTTAAAATTTATGTAGATCTGGTTGACCACGAACGGTTGACAGCAATTGATTGACCGCAACACGCGTCTTGGGTTGCACGAACAAGATCAGATCAAAATTGGATGGATGCAAACAGATCAAAACGAAATTTTGCTGCCAGACACATTCCGGCGGCGCGTGAGGGCGCGTGCAGCGTCGGATTCCGGCAACGTCGGCGGCGATGGAAAGCTCTCGTCGAGACGGTCGTCTGGGTATACTGTACGTCTCAATCGGACTTCCGGTTAGTTCTGTAGGTCAAAATCTATTTTGTCTCGGTTTACCTACAGATCTTCTACTGTATTACTCAATACACCCTTCTTCAACTTGTACCAGTGGAGCAACAAGAAGAAGATAAAGCTCGAATGAGATCTAGAGAGAGAGAGATGGGCGGCGTGTATCACGTGAATATGAGATGAGGTCTCTTCTCATGAGCTTAATGATGTATATATAGAGCTACAGTAGGGACCTAAGGAGATTAGGAAAAGGGGTCCTTAATTAATTAGACTAACTGTGGGCCAAACCCGCTCCTCTAATGAATTAAATAATATTAATGGGCCACCAACATTATATTATTGCACTCCCTTTCCCTAGCCCAAATTACATTTGAGACTCCAATAATAATTACTCGATTTACCTCCCCACGTTTAAGATATAATGTCCATTAATTAATTCGATTACTGACAATCAAGAATTAATTAATTTATTATTATTTCACCGAAGCTAGCGCTCGTTCATCACATTCTTATTATGCCGGAATTTAATCCACCTGCAGGGTTTAGCATAACAATCCTTCATGAACTCACTCCGGGGACATCATCAAACTAACGCACATGGTGACCGTAAATACCTAACAACACATCATATATATAGTAATATTACCCAAAACAGTAGGAATATTAATCCAGCGAACTGAACCTCACCCATGTGAATCAAAGTAATATATATTATATATATCTGCCTGTTTAATATCTTACGGGTTAAGAGAACGCAGTAATTAACCGAGGCCTAGTTCATTTACGACGATCAGTATAAAATGAACTTCTCCTCTCTGGGATCCTGTTCAATACATAAATGTACTAGTAATCAGTCAAGACAAACTGTACAGTTGACACTACAACCGTTCGGATGGGGTGTTCATGTCCATCTAGGTTGTCAACAACTATTCTTGTTCGCAAGTGACTGATA